AAAAAAAAAAAAAAAAAAAAAAAAAAAAAAAAAGTAGAGGACCTTTGGATGTTTGGGTGTCAAATAAGCCTGAAATATCATATGCTGGTTTTCTGAGGTGGGTTTCCAAATAAAAGTAAAATACAAAATGCAAATTATAAGGCTATTATCTATATCATTACATGGGTCTGTTGGAATAGAGTATTAAAAGCTTATGAGAGTAAGATTTTGTCGTCACATAAATTAGTTCTGATCCTCCATTTTTTCAAATAGATGATATTATTGTTAGTATAAGTTCTTGCACTGAATGATGTCAGCAAGTTGAGGCAGAGCATTGGTGAGAATGAGACTGGGCTGAATCTGGATGAGTAGAGATCCTGCCTTGTTGCCAACTCTAGGAATGACCTGGGTAAGTCATGTCTTTGCCAACCTTTGTCCATCCTCATGTCTGTAATCTTGCAGGGTGGTTATTTGATGGTTGCTTTCATAGCCTTCCCATGTCTATAATCACATACACTTGACCTCTTCAACTTTATTTTAAATGAAGTCATTCATTATTTGAGGACCGGCAAGGAGCAAAATTCCCTGTGCCCTTGAGAAAGTGCTACAACTGGAAGCACTGCCAAGGTTCACATGTCATGGGGGAGGAGAATTCTGGTTAACTGAAAATCTTTGTTAAAAGGAAGATTCACTAGCATGATCCATTGAAACCGTTACTGTTAGGGATCTATCTAAGATGTGCTAGTGATCATCTCTGACTTAAGAAAACAGGAAAATAAGAATTAAGAAGTATATTTATGTGCCAGCCTCTGTGATAGTCACTAGGAAACAGAATGATAATAATGACCATCGTTTATTGAACATTTTATTCTTTGCCAGGTACTGTTTTGAGAGCTTTATGTGCATCATCTCCTTCAATATTCCATACAAATATAGAAACTGTAGTAAACTGTTATAATACCTTGTAGTAGGTTGAATAGGGATCATCCAAAAATGATATGTTCATATGCAAATCCCTGGACCTGTGATTGTGGCCTTATTCGGGAAAGGGGTCTTTGTGGATGTAATTCAGTTAAGTATCTTGAAATGAGGAGGTCATCCTGTAATATCTAAGATGGCCGTAAATACAATGGCAAGTACCCTTATAGGAGACACACAGGGAAGAAGCACACAGGGGAGGAGGCAATGGGACCATGGAGGCAGAAAGTGGGGTGATACAGCCACAGGCCATGGAATACCTAGAGCCCCCAGACGCTGGAAGAGACACTACCCAGATTATCTTCTACAGCCTTCAGGGGAGCATGGCCTTGCCAACACCTGGATATCAGACTTTGGGGCTCCAGGATTGTGCAAGCATAAATTTCTGATGTTTCTGGCCACGAAGTTTATGATAATTTGCTACAGCAGCCTTAAGAAATTAATAAATATCCTTTTTACAAATGTGAGAATGAAGGATAGAAGGGCCCACCAACTTACCTAAGGTCTCACAGTAAGACATTGCTGCAGGAGACTCACCTAGGCATCCTTAGAATTTGCTTTCAACCTTATTAGACAATTGCACCTCATAATATCTCTACCCCTAATAAGATACATAAACCACCAGTTACTCTGAAAAGTGCAATGGAAACTTGGGGCAGGCATAGGGTGCACAGAGGGGGATATAACCCTACTTTCGAGGGCAGGCGTGAGCATCAGGGAGGATATCCTAAGGGCAGTGATGATATTGAGCTGATAAAGTTTTTTTTTTCTTTTGATTTTAAATTTTAAGTTCAGGAGTATGTGTGCAGGTTCTGCAGGTTTGTTACATAGGTAAATGTGTACCATGGTGGTTTGCTGCATAGCCATCCCGTCATCTAGGTATTAAGTCCAGCATCCATTAGCTATCCTTCCTGATGCTCCCCCTCTTCCCACTGCCCTCTGATAGGCCCCAGGGCCTTGTTCTCCCCAATGTGTCTATGTGTGCTTATCATTCAGCTCCTACTCATAAGTGAGAACATGAGGTATTTGGTTTTCTGTTCCTGTGTTAGCTTGATGAGGACAATGGCCTCCCATTCCATCCGTTTCCCTGCAAAGGACATGATCTCATTCCTTTTTATGGCTGCACAGTATTCCATAGTGTATATGTACCACAGTTTATTTATCCAGTCTGTCATTGATGGGCATTTAGGTTGATTCCATGGCTTTGCTGGTGTGAATAGTACTGCAGTGAACATACACATGCATGTATCTTGACAATAGATGGTTTATATTCCTTTAGGCATGTACAAGGAACTTAAACAAATTTACAAGATTTATTTTTTTTTTAAGAGAATAAAGTAGGGACATTTTTCCAAGCAGAAGGAGCAACCATAGCAGGTGTGAAAGAGCAGGGATGTTAAAATGATTAAGTAACTAGGCCTACGTAGCAGGAAGTTGTGACCAATGTCTGGGAAGCCCGGATTTCAGATCCCATCTTCTTTTGTGCTGCCTCCTGCTCTGAGAGGCAGGGGTGCTCTTTGCTCTTTGCGTCATGCCTTCCCCATTTCTTAGCTGTCTGACCTCTGCAGATTTACTTAACCACCTTACACCCCAATTCCAGCAGCTGTCAAAGAGGATAAAAATAATAGTGGCAGCTCTTTCTAACTTATATAAGAGTCTGTGAGTAAAATCTTTGTAAATCGAAGGGCTTAGAAAAATGTTAGTAATTGTATATGTGATGAGTCCAAGTTTTTCCTTGGAATTTTATTTTTTGAAATACTTTGAGTTCAGCACATTTTCTTGTGATTTCCTAATTTTTCCTAAAAGTCTAGTAGCATACATTTTCTCATTAACAGTTTTTAAAATATAGGCTTATTTTAATATTGCTGTCCAAATCATTCCAAGCAGTTGTCAAATGTTTTTCTCAAAAGTCCTGTAAAACCTCAATCTATTGATCATGGATTTTTCAGTAGATGTGCTAATAGCATCTGCAATCCAGCACAGCCATGTGTCTTCAATGAAGAAAATGTGGGTGTTTACTTGACAGAGTTTCTCAGCTCTACAATAGGGTGATATTGGTTCCTCCCTAATCTGTATCCAATTTTACAACTGAACTTTTACCTTGAAAAGCCTAGCGTGGGAAAATAAAGAGAACTATAAAAACAGTCATAAATAAAAGCCAGTAGCACATTTCTAAGGCATAGGTGCCTGCATGTGCAATGTAATCACATCAACTTGTCTTTAAAATTGTGTTGTTAAAAAATTGTGTAAGAGGTAACAAGAGGTAACAGAGCAGAAATAGTGAGAGGACAGTTGTGTAATTAGTGAACAAATCTCTTTTCTTGGAGGGGATATACTGTCTCTATTACATAACTCTGCCGAAGTCTCTATAAGGGTGATGAAGACAGTAGGGTATGGTGGAAGGAAAAGTAGCTTGGGAACCAGGCTATTTTTTTTAATGTTCTTAAGCTCTTAGGCTATTTGGCATTGGGTTTTTATTACATACAACTGTCGTTGTGGCTATGATAGTGGGTGTGTAGGGTAGAGGAGGGGAAAATAAATTGACTACATTCATTTTAGCTAGAAAAAGAAATCCAAATTCTGATGCCCTGGAATAGATTATATCAATCTTTTAAATAATTCTAATTGTATACTTTTAGGCCTATTGTCCATACGTGAACCTGTCCTGAGGTCAGGGTAATAGAGTCCTAAAGCTGGCTGAATTATTTGTTCACTCTGGTATCCAGGATAAGGGAGTGGTCAGTGTTGGCGATTCACAATGATTTGCTTCCCCATTGGAAAGATGGGCTTTGTTTTCAGAAGAAGTGAGTACTGGACAGAGAAGGACAAGAGATGTCCAGCAAATCTTTGAAACCCTATCAGCCTTGATAGTAAGGATACTACAGGATCAATAGTAGTTTCTGTGGTTCCTACAACATGCTCCCCAATCATTGTTTCCTACCTGGAATCACATCTTACTCTTTGTCATTGAGTGCTCAGCTCCCATTCATCACCTCTGCGGCACCTTCTCCGGCAGCTCTGATCCATAAAGGTCATTTTCTGTGATACAGCACCGTGCTTCACAGATCACCAGTCCACCATAGCTTGCTGAATCTAAATCTCATCCAATCACTTTTCCAGGCCATTTGCTTCCCATAATGTGTCTCTCATTTCTTTCTTATTCTCCCTTTTCATTAACTTCTTAGTTCATTCATTTCTTCTCACTTGGATGATTGAATATTTTCTTAACTTTCTGCCTCCAGACTAATTTCTTTTTCTTTGCCATTTCTTTCAGGGCAATCTTCCCTAAAGGTACACAGCTCTGAACATGCCAATACTCTATTTAAAAACCAGTAAGGTAGAGTGGAAGGCATAGCTGAGTGAAACTGAAACCCTCTTTGTGCTGGAGGTTTCTTTCTGACAGCACGCCTCCGCCCCTGTCCAAAAGGCCTGATGTGAAATATTGCAACAAAGTCAAAATCAACTGGCAGGTACTTCAATAGATGTGCTGATAGCATGCAACTATGGGAAGGTGCCAGAACTGAACCGAGGTGGTGAATTGAGGTAGAGATAAGCAAGTACCGAGACAAAGGAGGCAAGAGAAACTCCAAAACCAGGGTGATTCAAAGGAAGGAAACAGGGTTTGAAGCTAATGGTCATTGCCTGGCTTGAGTCATTTTTAAAGGGAGAGGAAGGGAGAGGTATGTCTCTACCTGCTGGTACTGTGGTGTGCCTGTACTGTAATTGGACATTCAAGCAGACCTATGTATTTGTTCACTAAGCAAATATTTGTTGAGTACTTACTACGTGCTAAATACTGGGTATCAGAAATAATTGCATATATGAGCCTTGAAGAGTGATTATGGTTGACATGTATGAACATGGGTGAAAGGGAAGAGATGTTTTTTGAACTTTGTATTTTCCAACACATCCAGCTGTGTACCTTCTGCACAGCAGGTGCTAAAAATAGATTTACTGAATTAAAAAGCAATTCATGCCACTAAAGGGTGTTCCATGGTCTCACAGAAATTGGGAAGGAGTAAGTAGCATCTTTAGTAAATAAACAATATGCTCCTAGCCAAAAATATACAACTTTGGGTTTGTTAGACTTTGCTCTGTCTTACTTATTAACTAGAACGCAAGTGTTTTCATGTGTTTTGTTTTCTTCTCTTTCTTCTTCTTACTTTCCTATTTTTCTTTCTGCAAAGTTCTTATCAACACATTTCAATGAGTACAAATGATGACTCCATGTCCCAGGAAACAAAGACAATAAGCAGTGAGGTGGGGGTGGGGGGTGGGAGAGAATGAGAGAGAGAGAGAGAGAGAGAGAGAGAGAGAGAATGTTAAATCTCCTGGTGGTTATCAAGTCTGCAGAAAATGACCTGATTGGCTGAGAAAGATGGGACTGGTGATAAAAGTGCAGATAAATAGGTGCGTGTGTGTGTGTGTGTGTGAGTGTGTGTGTGTGTGTGTATATACACACACACAGAGATAGGTATATATACAATATCATTATAGAAATAATCTCCCTAGTGTTTCTTCAAGTCTATGCCTTTCATTTGACTTCCCTTTGTTCTTCTCTAGTATATTATTTTGATATATATCATTTTTAATCTCAGAAACCAAAAGAGATTCCTGAAAACCATTACCCTGTCACCCACTGTGAGATCCTGGGCTGAGGAAGTTTTGACTTTGTGTGCTATAATCTCTCTCAACTGTTCTAGAACTCTTAACCAGTGGACAGCTCTGGCCTATTGAGCTCTCTATCAGGGAAATAAGAAGAGATTTATCACAACCTCCATCCATCTCTGTCACACAAGCTGCTCTTGTTGCAGAGCCCACACTCTCATGTCCCCGTGACTTAGATCTCCATCAAGGGCACAGATGGGTGTTACCTTCCTGGGCCTTTGGCCACCCAGTTCCATTTTCTTTTAATCCTCACAACAACCCTGTGAGATAGGTATGGATGCCCATAGCATAGGCCAGTATTTTGTGATCTTTTAGTATCTGTGGCCCCTCTTTTAGCATGGACATTGTCATACTATACTTTTAATATCCATTTAATGAAAACGTCACAATGAGCAAAATCTATCTTGAGTTCACTGACTTTTGTATTGATCTGCAGTACCAATAATAGCGAACTTAAAGTGTATCTAACATTTATTTGGCATGTCCAATGTGCCAGGCATAGAGCCAAACATTTTTGTTTGTTTGTTTGTTTTATTATGCTTTAAGTTATGGGATACATGTGCAGAACATGCGGGCTTGTTACATAGGTATACATGTACCATGGCGGTTTGCTGCACCCATGAACTCACCATCTACATTAGGTATTTCTCCCCACCCCTCCCACACCCTGACAGGCCCCCAGGTGTGAGGTTCCCCTCCTTGTGTCCATGTATTTTCATTGTTCAAATCCCACTTTTGAGTGAGAACAAACGGTGTTTGGTTTTCTGTTCCTGTGTTAGTTTGCTGAGAATGATGGTTTCCAGCTTCATCTATATCCCTGCAAAGGACATGAACTCATTCTTTTTTATGGTAGAGCCAAACATTTTATAGTGATCCTTTTATCTCATGCTCCTGATAACCCTATGGGGTGTGCCCTTTGACTGGCTCCATTTAACAGATAGAAAAACTGAGCCTGTGAGACAGGTATAGTAGTTTGTTCAAGGTCACACATGGTGTGCAGCAGAGCAAGAATTTAAACCTAGGCAGTGTAGCTCTAGAACCAGCATTCATAACCACTATATGATTTAGACGCTTGTTTGAAAATAGTGAGAGACAACTTAGTGTAGCTGGAAGATCCTGGTTGAAGTCCATAGGATTATAGACTATTGTTTTGGTGATGAATGAGATGATGTGTGTAGAGAAATTACATAGTGCCTGGTGCGCTCAGAGCATGTTGCTTATGGGGATAATGAATGTCTTTGACCCTGACTCTCCCTTGCTGACAATACGTAAAAAGGTGTTCTGCCTATGACTGGTGTGGAAGTGGAAAACAAAGATGACAATAGCCACGGGATGGTGGTCTTGATCACAAGGGTGAGTCAGCCTAGAGTGAATGGGATGGTGCTGTGACTCTTGGTATTGGCATTCTTCATCCAAAAGTTGGTGTCCTGAGTCTTGGGCAGAAGCAGCAGCAGCAGGGGCAAACAGAGAGTGATTCGGTGGGCAAGGGAGACAGAATGACCATTTTGATGTCTCCGGTGACCAGAAATAACAGCACAGTAATCTAGAGAGAACACAAGAAAAGGTGGAAATATAAACTTCAGATCACCTGTAAGACATTCTCCTAGGGCTTGGCAGGACTCTTCCGGGAGCATTTGAAAAGGCTGGGAGCAAGAGAGATGAAAGTTAAGTGTCTGGTCTTCTTTCTCCCTGACTGGTGGGGCCTGGAGAGTAGGCATTTTAATTAGAGCCATCCCTGGGTGGGCAAGATGAGCTGGAAAGCTTTTATACTCTGGAATATATACATGCTGAATAAATGACAAAGAAACCACACTTGCCTGTGCATTGCTGAGCCCACAAGAAAGTAAGGAATGTCCTGAAAATCACAACTCAAACAAATCATGAGCTGACACCAGAGAGGTGAGTGATCATGAAGGCAGTCATCCTGAGTAAAATGATGCAACCAGGTGCCTGAAGTTTTGAGGATTGTTGATCATACTGGGTATGAGAAAACGGAGGTCATGCAAGAGGGAGGATGCTGGGCTTGAGATGCCCTCCTAAAGGTTCATTCTCACACGGTCTATCCAATCAGTGAAAAGCTAGACTGAAGAAACAAAAAAAGCATATGTGTCATGGCTATGACTCTGGATAGAATTTAATTAGTGACAATACTAGTCTCCAGTGGAATGTGTTAGCTCTGTTATAGGCCTGTTCTCACGTGGATCTATGGTTACTTTAGTACCATCCCTAAAGTCAGAGAATATAAAGCCAATAAATTAAAGCATCCCTAGTTGGAGAGCCATCCCTATTGCCCAGAAATAGCAGATGGAGAATATCTTGGGGAGTCAGCATCTTCAGCTTAAAGCCTCCAGGGTATGCCAAAGTTAACTTTAGGCAAGTAAACTCCTAGGGAAAAATGACAAAACACACATGAATGCAAGGCATCAAGGATGTCAGTCAGTCTAAACAACTGTGAACAGAGTTTGACCCCGAGGTCAAATATTATTCTGGTATTATCAGATACAGATGGCATTCTACCTAAGAATACTGCGTTTAAAGAAATGAAAGACAGAATAAAGATAGCAAGGAAAAATGGACTAGCAATCATGAGGAAAAGGATTTGGAAAAAGAATGAAAGGGAACTCTGGAGATAAAAATGTAATTATTAAAATTAAAATCTGATGAACAGATTAAAGAAGGGATTTATCATAAGGATGATATGACAGCTAACAAGTGGCAGCTAACAGTTATATATCATTTATTATATACTAGATATTACTTTGCAAACATACCTGAAGAAAGGAGTGAACTAAAAGTTAGATCTGGAAAAATTACCCTTAGAGAGACTAAGAAAGAAAAAAAATAAATGTGAGTGCTGTGGCTCAAATTTACTAGGGTGGTATCTTAGGCATAAGTTTTATAACCCATCTGAGTCTCACTTTCCTCAGCTATGAAATGAAAACACAGAGGAGGTGATTTGGCAGATTTCATTGTAGGACTATTTCTGGAGTTTAGGTTTGTCAACACTGAAAAAGTAAAGTACTAATTAAGAGAGGGTGAGACTGACTTGAATTAGCCTCAATATTTTCTGCATACATTCGTTGGGAATATTTTCTTGGCTTCTTAAAAATTCCATTATTATGTAAATTTAGAAATTGCATGTATATTTGAACAATTTTAGTTTGAAGTTTCAAAATAGTATTTTCTGTCTTCCAAATCTTGTAAATGACTTAGAACCATCATGACTCGGGAAGAGAATATCACTGAGACATCACACAGCAGGTATTTTCTGTCCATCGGATCATATAATTTTCATGTACCATGAGTCACAGCAAATTCATACATTATTAGGAGCTGATTTAATAAATGAATTATCATTTAAAAGCCCTTTTAGTTAGAGCAACTCTAATGTTTAGATCCTTTCAAGATTTAGAATCTTGAACAGCACAATTTCGTATTGGAATACTGCCCACTTAATGGATTGTTTGGACAATTGAAGAGACAATGGAATTACAGTTAGTTGCTCATAGTAGATACTTATCCCTCTCAGTGTTTGTGGTTTGCAAACAACGAAACAAACTCTGGCTTATTTAAACAGGAAATGAATTAAATGGAAGGAAGGCAAGGTGGAAATGCTCATAGAATTGGTAAGAAGGCTGGAGAAACAGCCTTAGAAATCGGACAGAAACCACAGAAGACAAGACCCAACCACCACCTACCATAGACCCAGTCAGTGAGGAAGCTGATTGCCATTTCTGAACTGAAAACTTACCACTCATCAGTGGATCCTTGAATCAATCTCTTTGACAGATGATCTCCATCA